ATTAATCCTTGAGCCTGAAAAAGGGAACATTCTTGGATTGCTTGCTTGAAATGATCTGGGTTCATGCCTGAATGACTAGCTTTTGTAGGATTGGCATTTTCATCTTTTTTGAAAGGAAGGAAAATGAAAAATTCAGGGTTTTGTCAAAGTGGGTGATCACATTTCTGGAGAAAATCTGAATGAGTTTCTGCACATGAAAAATGAATGAACTTGTGTTTGAAATCTTGAAAAACATCTTGTTGAAGGGTAAGGGTGAAGAGGTTGGGAAGGTTTTTCCAAGGTCTAAAATAACTTTCAAACTTGATACCGTTTCCACTAAGCTTTAAACCTGGTATACTGGTAATGATATCGAAACCAATAACAAGGTCTTTCTGAGGAAGTGGAGATCCTAAAATCTTTTGAGTTATTCGACATCCTGAAAAGATTTGAAGGGTAACAGGGTTGCTGACAAAGTCTGTAAAAAATATATTTTCATCAACGATTTTGAAGAAGGTTTTTTGTTTTGTCCAAAAGTGTTTGGGTAAAACAAGAGGGTTTGCTATGGTTTGGGCTGCACCAGTATCAAAGAAAGCTGTAACTGTTATAGGATGAGAATGTTTATGAAGAAAGATCTGAACTGGAGCTAAGGGTAATTTTAGAGGTTAAAGGGTTTGAATTTTTTAGAGTTCTTGAACTGACATATACTCATAACATTGATCATCTGTGAAATCATCTGAGTATTTTGAATAGTCTGAATCGCATACTCATCATCATCAAACTGCTTTATCATAAACAAGGATTTTTCATTCTGCTCATCATCAAAGGAGAAAATTGATTTAAGATCATCATCTGAGAGATTGATACCTGAGATAGTAGTAATATCTTGGATCATCTTGACTGACTTTTTGTCTGACTTTGGGCAGTTCTCTAAGAAATGTCCTGGTTTTCCACAGAGAAAACATTTTGAGCTTTTGATCTTTGGATCTTTCTTCTTTCTTGTAAATTTGAATATTTGAAATCTTCTGAGTTTATCAGCATATCTGAAAAATTTCTTGTGTTTGGGTCTGAAAATTTATGGAGGTTTGAAAGGTCTGAATCTTCTGAAATATTTTTTTTTCTTGTTGCTGCAAAAACATGTGGGATCTTTGGAGGAACATTTGATTTGAAGTTCTGAGGAGGAGTAAGAACATGACTTTTTTAGCTTTTTGGAGTTGTGCACCAAGGTTTTGATGTATTTGTGCTCTTTGCAAATCTTATCAAGGGCTTTTAGCATCATCTTGTAGATGTCTCCAAGGGTCATAGATTTGACATCAAAGGATTTGAGGTTCAATTGGGTTCTTGTTTGCTGGGCAAGTTTTTCTGGAACAGAATTAAGAAATGCTTGCTTTAAGTTGACATCATCGAATCCATCAAGTATGTAAAAATACTGAAAGAATTGTTGATAGTGTCTATCAAGGTCTTTTGGATGGAGAGAAAGCATTTGAGTCTGAAGAATTATTCTCTGATCTTTTCTAATCTGTGAGTTTCTTGTCCATAAAAGATTACTGTAAATTGAGAGACAGCGTCTGTGATTGTTGGGCATTGAAGAAACTGAAGTTGTCTGTATTCACCAATGTTGTCCCAAAAATTTTTCAATGTTCCAACTAGTCTGGAAACAAATTTGATCAAAACTGTGTTCATTGTAACATTGGGATGAGAATTCAATTCAACAAGTTCCCATGCTAAGAATTCTTGAAATCTTGAGGGCCATTTTGAAGGAGGAACATCATCAATAGTAAAAACTAAGAATTTTGATGTTGAAGGATGAGCATGTGATTGTTGTGGAGGAGGGTGTTGTTCAGCATCCATTGCATCAGGGTTATGAACTTCTGGAGGATCATCTGAAACTTCAACTGTTGGTTCTGTCATGAAAATCTGAGGGAGCATCATTTCATCTGAGTCATTAGTATCATCTGTTTCAACTGATTCATCTGATTTGACAATATCCATGTGAGATTCAATCTCAAAGGTAGAGGAAAAAATATCTTCAATAGAGAACTGAGGAAGGTTATCTTGTGCCATCTGGTGAAGTATTTCTGGAAGGGTTTGTGTAGGAGAAATCATGAGTTGTACAGGTTTTTGGTTTTGAAGGTTGAGAAAGTGGTTGTGCTGCTACTCTTTTGGGTTTTGGATCAACTGATTATTTTTTTCAAAATCTGTGAATCCATTTTTCAGTTGTACCGAAAGGGGGTTGGTTTGATTGGTCTGAAAGAGGAGTGAAGTATTGTGTTGGTTGTGAGGATGTTGGAATAGATGTTGGGGGAGGTTTATACTGAAAAGGTGTGAAAAAAGGTTTTGGAGGTAAGGTTGGAGGATTGTAGGGTTGAAATGAAGGAGGAGTATAGGCTTGGTAAGGAGTATCATGCATACCAGTATGATATTGTGTGAAGATGTTGTAACTCGAAGCTGCTTGTTATTATTGTTGTTTCTGACGAAACTGATTTTGAAGGTCTGCAAGTTGAATCTTTAAGCTCTTCATTTCTTTCTCTCGTTCAGTGAAAGCATAAGTGATTCCAGTGTTGGTTTCAGCCATGTATCTGAGTTCTTGATCAAGTGTGATTATCCTTGACTGAATTTCAAGAATAATATTTTGGAGATTGACAAGGCTCTGATCAAAATGTTGACTGACTTGATCCAACTTATGTTCGATTCTGTGCAGATAGGAATTTTGTTGGAGAGAATTTTTAGTTTGCCAATTTAAAACTGCTTCAGCATGAGAAACACTTTTTTGGTTTCCATATTCATCTCTGTCAATGGGAGTGGGGATTTTTGGAATGTGTTTGTATTGATCTTTATGAAATTCTTCAAAAGGGGGGAAATTTGAGCTTAGGTAAGTTGGTTGCATCATGAAGATTTGTGGTAAAAGTTTTGTGGAATTTTGGGAGGAATCTTGGGAGGAATCTGATTTTTGTGTGGGTTGAGTTGAGTAGGTTTGAGGGTGTGGTTTGTGACTGTTAATGCGATAATTATGTGTACCAAAATTATTTAATGTGGAGAAGTCGAAGCTACTAAAGAGTGTTTGACTTTGAGTTTCCAAAATGATTTTTATTTTTATTTTTCATTTAAAGGTGGCATGAATCGAAATTAATTATTGAAATTAAAATTTTAATATTTTATAAATAATTAATAAATACAGCATAGTTAAAAAAATGTTAATCTATACTTTGCTGTCCATTGATTTCTTAAGGACTTATTTGGTTGATTATATTTGTAATACTCAAAGAAATCCATGTATAAAAGTATAACAAGAATCCATTTCATGAATCTGTTTTTTTATATATTGAAAGTGTAACATTTTAATTTTACAAGTAGAACTAAAAAATTATCATGTCTTTTTTTTAATTAATTTTTTTATTTTTTAAAATAATCTAAAAAATATTATCACTTTATTAATTCTACTCGTGAAATATAAAAATTTACATTAACAGTTGATTAGATAATTTCTTGCATTAAAAATCCATAACCTAGCCAAATTCTATCCTTCATTCATGAATCATGGGGCTTAGTAGCCTTAATTAAGTCAATGTGTACCTCAAATATATATGCTGCCTATGCCATTATAGGCAGCTGCCTGATGAAAGCTCTTCTAGCTGCCAATCTGACGGTTATTACTAGCAGTGACATCCATCAGAAGTTCCGAATTAAGAATCTTGTTGCACAATTTTGCATTTCTCGGAGTTTCCTTGTTTATTTCCTAGTTTCAAAACCTTGCGCAACTGTTTCATCAGCATAGCACATGCCGTGAGTGCCTGCAAATTTTGACATAAAAAATCGAAGGACAAGTTGATGTACATTCGTTGGGGAAGAACTGGTCCTCCAGAAAAGAGCATCGAAATGACCCGCTGATTTGTTCACTTGCTGAAAATATAAATTATAATCATCTTTTCAGCTCATCGCGGTTTAAAAAGGAAAGAATTAAACCCTAGCAGAAATATGGAGAAATTTTCAAAAATAAAGAAAATGAGAGAAAATTACAGAGTTGACTCGCTTGAAGAGCTGGTTGAGATGGCCTAAAACATCGCCGCATAGTAGAATTCGCACTCACAGAGGAGCCATCAGAAAGAAAGAGAGAGAGAGACCATTGAGAGTGAAAAGCGGGAGTGAGGAATTGGTGCTCCGAAGTCTGAAGTCTAGAAGGCCAGAGGGGCGTGACTAGTGGACGCTTGGATTGGGTAAGAACAGGCTCAAATGGTCCGAACCTTCGGGCTTATATGGGCGGAGCCTTAGTTTTATTTTTTAGGGCTTCTCTTATCAGTCCCTCTTTTCTTTTTTTTTTTTTAATCTCGTGCATCTTTGCCCTTTAAACTATCCTGTCCAGCCCATATTTTAGTTCATTTTCTTTTTATAAGGTAAAATCCGTAGTTTAATTATATATATATATATAATAATGAATAATAAAAAAAATCAATAAAATATAATATAATTAGATAAATTCAATATAAAATTAAATCAAACCTACACTCAAATTGATTTAAATTTAAATTTAAAATCAAAATTCTGGAACTTTGTTATTTCTGCTTGGTCAACTTTTCATTGACTTGATTCCAAGTCTCATAATTCTCTACGACAGTTAGTAAGACGATTTTTTCCAACTGATAAATCAGAGTAACAGTTTGATTGTATATGATAATGTTGCCTTCAATTTTTTTTAAAGTCAAACTACAATTTTAGGTTAAAGGTTTCGATTCCAAACTGAAAGAGTTGTGTATGATAAATGCCATGGACAGATGCAAGTTCAACTTTTGATGACAATTTTTTCTTATTTATTTGTAGTCCATTTTAACCCTAGAAAAATGAGGCTGTCAGAAAGAACAAAGTCTGGATTTGTGGGGCCAATGAGGCCTGAGTGCATTCCTTAGCACTTGTTTGGGCTCAAGCCACAGAGGATGGGCCAACCTGCCTGATCTGACCAATGGCTCGTGGGCTTGAAATTGGAACTGATCAATTTGAGGTGGCAGATTTGATTGGTTACTGATCCACACTACGTAAACATAACACCATAGAATCCCCATCACTATGATATAAAAGATTTTTCGGTGTTCTTTAATGTGGTTTAGCAATGGCGCTGTCACCATTTCCAGTAAATCATCAAACTTTCCCATCATCTTCACATTCTCTTTGCTATCTTCTTTTGCAAACCCGGAATCACTTTCCAAATAACAGTTTCAGAGTTCTCAAATTCAAACTTTCTTGTTGTTCTCATCAAACAATAAAGGTTGGTGTTGAAATAAGTAGGAAGAAGAGGAAGCCCAGGCCAAGTTTTTTGGATCAAATTAAGGATAAATGGTCTCAGAAACCAATCATTTCCACAAGAAAGAAGTTCCCATGGCAAGAAAAAGACGGAATTGTAGAAGAAGAAGAAGAGGAAAGAGAGCAGTCTTTTGGGGCGATCCTGTCTGAGTCAAAATGTGATAAGGTTCCACGAAAGGAAGTAATTGACCCAGTGGCGAGTCGGGTAATTTCTGCTCCTTGGTCTCATGGAAGGAAATTTAATGAACCCCATTTTGATTTTGTGCCTGAAATTTCAAATTTTGAGTCTAAAATAGGAGAAAGTTTTGCTAGTAAGAAATTGATTGAATTCCCAGGAGGAAACACAGTTGAAGTTGTTGGGGGCCAAATTGAAAAATTAAAACTTATAGATGACGACGCTAACTTTAATAACCAAACAATTGGACTACCAGTAGACAAAGAGGTTGCAGCTGTTGACCGCTTAAAAGATGTAGTATATTCCAGGGAGTATTTTGAGGTTTCTACTAGTGGTGACGAGGGTGGTTCAGTTGAAGGAGATAGCAGGAGAAGTATGAAGAGGAGCAACACAGAGACGGCGGAGAGAACGATACCAGAGCATGAATTGCGGAGGCTAAGGAATGTTGCATTGAGGATGGTAGAGAGAACAAAAGTTGGAGTTGCAGGGATCACACAGGCGTTAGTGGAGTACATTCATGAGAGATGGAAGTTGGATGAGGTGGTTAAGTTGAAGTTTGAAGAGCCTCTTTCTCTTAACATGAAAAGGACACACGAGATTTTGGAGGTTAGTGTTTATACATTGTTTTGATTTGTTATATATCTATGGCTACTTGCAAATCATTTCAATGATTGTATTGCTGTTAGTATATTGATGATATACTTCCAGGGGTAGAGTTATTGTATTGAAAATATTATTGATTAAAACTGAAATCTTAGTTTATATTAGGATTTGTATAGATTTGAATCTGGCTGTTTAGTGTCTTATTTGAATTATCCCCATTCTTCGTCAGAAAAGAACTGGAGGATTGGTTATATGGAGATCAGGCGGCTCAGTGGTGTTGTACAGGGGAATGGCCTACAAGCTTCACTGTGTTCAATTGTTTTCCAGACAGAATCAGGCAGATATGAATGCTTTGGATTGTTCAAATGATGTTAAAGATGATGCCTCCCAAAATCTGGTAGTCAAAGACTCTGCTAGGACCATGAAGTCCTTCATGCCTTCTTCAGAATATTTGAAGGATCTATCTAAAGAAGAGCTTATGGATTTATGTGAACTCAACCATTTGTTAGATGAATTAGGTCCACGGTATAAAGATTGGTCAGGTCGTGAACCATTGCCTGTCGATGGAGACCTGCTTCCTCCTGTTGTTCCTGGATATCAACCCCCATTCAGACGTCTTCCTTATGGGATAAGACACTGTTTAAAGGACTGTGAAATGACTACTTTCCGTAGACTTGCAAGGGCAGTGCCTCCACATTTTGCCTTAGGTAAATTATTGTATGAGATTGTCTTTGTATCACCAAATATTTCTTTTTCTTTTTTCTCCTTTTTTATTCAATCACCAGATCACTTTCTCTTGAGGGATTCTATATCTTGATTGTTTTAGGAAGAAACAGGGAATTGCAAGGTCTGGCACAGGCTATGGTGAAGTTATGGGAAAGAAGTGCTATTGCAAAGATAGCCATCAAACGTGGAGTGCAAAATACACGCAATGAAAGAATGGCTGAAGAGCTCAAGGTGAGAATCTTGAAATGTAAATCTAAATATATTACTAGGGATTTTGTCAGCTTATGGAACGAATATGGAAAGTGTTCAAGTATTACAAATATGATTTTTTTGGTCTCAAGTTATTTTTCCATCACCTGGTTATCATTGTTTCTCTTATGAAAGGAAAAGAGAAAAATAATTTGTAATTATATTGTTATAATGGGAAACATACAAATCTGGTTTGCTAACGAGACATCTCATTTAAATTTGAAGCAAATGCATGTTCATGACTGTTTAAATTTCCTAAAATTTTCAGGTAGATATTGAAAACCGGAATTTCTTTATTTGAGCAGAATTGCTATAGATTTGAATACAATAGACCCATTTCAAAGTCGCATCAAGTTCAACTTCAGGCTGTTATAATTCATTACTATTTAGTTTATGAGACTTGCTCTTTTCTCTGTTCTAATGGTGTTCTGGTCTGTTGCTTCATTAGATACTTGTTGCTTATTGCTTGCTTATTGCATATGCACTTTGTGCATGCAGCAATTGACAGGGGGAACACTGCTTTCCAGAAACAAGGAATTTATTGTCTTTTACAGGGGTAATGACTTCCTGCCACCTATTATAATGAGGACATTGACAGAAAGGCAAAAATCAAGAAATCTTCAACAAGAGGAGGAAGAGAAAGCACGAGAGAGGGCCCTGGCCTTGGTTGGACCTAATGCTAAAGCTTCTAAACTTCCTTTGGTTGCTGGTACCCTTGCAGAAACCACTGCTGCAACCTCTCGCTGGGGGCACCAACCAAGCCTTGATGAGGTGGAGGAAATGAAGAGAAATTCAGCTTTGATGCAACAAGCTTCACTAGTTAGTCATCTTGGGAAGAAACTAGCTCTTGTAAGTTACAGATGCGGTCTCAAAGATTACCAAACATTTTAAAACCATGACACACTTTCGGATTTATGCTTTTTTTCTAACTTTTTGGTCCTAGGCTAAAGGGAAGTTGAGAAAGGCCAACAAGGCTTTAGCTAAAGTGCAAGAGCATCTGGAACCAGCAGATCTCCCAACTGATTTGGAAACTTTAAGTGATGAGGAAAGAATTTTATTCCGTAGGATTGGTCTGAGTATGAAACCCTACTTGCTTTTGGGTAAGAATGGGAACTTGGATTCTGCTTGATGTTTCTGACAAGAAGGGTTAAATATTTATATTATTTTTCTGTTTTAGGAAGACGAGGAGTTTATGATGGTACAATAGAAAACATGCACTTGCATTGGAAATATCGTGAGTTGGTAAAGATAATTGTGAAAGGAGAAAGTTTTGCCCAAGTCAAGCATATTGCAATTTCATTGGAGGCTGAGAGTGGTGGGGTGCTAGTATCTTTAGATAAAACGACCAAAGGCTATGCAATTATTATCTATCGAGGGAAAAACTACCTGCGTCCTTGTGTGTTGAGGCCAAAGAATTTACTGACAAAAAGACAGGCATTAGCTCATTCTGTTGAACTTCAGAGACGTGAGGTAACATCATATTTTAAGCTCTCGATGATTTATAGGATTCTTCTCCAACTAATTCTTTGTGCTTCCATCCAATTCTTTTTCATCTTTTTCTAGGCACTGAAGCATCACATCTCTGACTTACAAGAAAAGATTGAGTTGGCTAAATCAGAACTGGTATTCTTTTCATTTTAGATATATGTAATCACAGTGATATTCAGCAAGAGGCAATTTGTTGAAGATTCACATCTTAATAATATATCGTTTTGATTCAGGAAGAAATGAAAACTGGGAAGGAGATTGATGTAGTAAAAACATCATACTCAAGGTTGAATGAAACTCCACTTTCGCATGAGGATTTTGTAGAGGTAAATTACCCACTAAATTTCTATGCATGCTGGTAGATAAAGTACATGCACTTCAGTTTCTTCCACCTTGTTATCAGCCAGTTATACCCGTTAGAAGTTGCAAACTTCCCTTTCGCTAAATTTCCTGTTACCCAAGAGTACTAACTCTTTAACAATTCACATCCCTCGATAGTCATTGATATTCTATAATTCTCTTTCTTCTCAATGATATCACAAATGGATGTAATGGAAGAGAATGGATTCTGTACCTGAAACTGGCCTCGATAGTCTCAGTTCATTTCAGTTTTCTGATTCTGAAACATGTCAAGTAGGGTTCTTGTTCTTATGCTACAATAGTATGTTTCCCATGCACTGATTGTGATAACAAATATATTTTTCCTTTGAACCAGGAGGAATGGGAAGAGGAGTATCTAGAAAAATATGGCAGTGGCAAAGAAGATGGTTATGAACAAAAGGAGCTTATGCCTGAAAGACCAGCTCGGTAGTTCCTCCACAACTGATTCCACATGCCACTGCAGAACTTTAATAAGAAAACAAATGCTTTAACATTCCAGCAAGCGGACAAGGGAAAGTTCATCAAGCAACGGAGATCATAGAATTGTGATTTTAATTGGACGTTGCATTAACATTATTTGCTAATTGTCATTTTGTGAAGCAAGTGATAGGGTAGGATTCATGGGTAAATTTAGAAGCTCGTAGGTGCTTTTAGTTGCGTTGTAAATACAGTAACCCAGCACAAGTTTCATTTATTTATTTATTTTCCCCATCTTCTATATTCTTGATTGGTTTGAATCAATCTGGTATTCTGTTGACTTGCTTGTTCGCACTCATTTAAATAGGTGTTTAAAAGACCAAATACAACAACACATTTTAGTATTCCAAATCATGCTGCATTGGGTTTTTATTAAGACCAAATATAAAGACTTCGACAGTTTAACTTAGTTGATTCAATAATTTATTTTTAAAAAGTGATATCTTAGTAAATTTGATATTCAAACTTTAATATTTGCAGTCTTTTTATCTATTTTAAGCTACAGTTTCTTTTGTATTACATTGCGGGAAAATTCCTCCAGACACTTGTATCATGTTTGTTGCGAGGAGAAAAATTAAATGCCTAACATCATGACGAAATTGAACTTCAAATTAAAAGCTTATCCTTTGTTCACAAAATTGCCTATTTTGCAACAACTCTGTCTTGCTCTAAGGCTGACTTTATAAAGTTCAGAACAATCGATGCCAACTCAGTTTGATGCGAGGTGTATCCATGATTGGCTCCTTCTACAATGTGTAATTGGTGATTAGGTATAATCTTGGCAAACGCCAATGCATCTTCAACGGGAATTATTTCATCAGCAGATCCATGGACAGTCAAGACCCTGTACGTAAGATTGGTGAATAAATGCATAGAAAGCATATACTAGTATTAACAATCATTTTATAATGACGTCTAAAGCTAGATCAATGAATTAGTGAAGAAAGAGTGATTTTGAAATAACAATAATTAATAGGCTCTAGATTCGAATCTTACCGACATTCTTTATCCATCTTGATGCAAGCTTCATGCATATCTGTTCTTAAACGCTCCGTCAAGCTTTCCTCAGTCACACGGTATTCAACACCTCCTAGATAGATAAAATGTAATTCAACTGTGAAATGTTCGCACTCAAGCATGCAAACAAGATTGAACAAGAGTAATTCAGTAATGAACAACCAAGCAAGATGCATGGGGCTGAGAGAGAGATGGGTCGGTAAGGTAGGGTAGGTGGGAAAGATATGTGCCTAATTTAATTGTTGTCTTGTTGATACAGTACTACATCTCAACCTTTCTACATTTTACAAGCAATGTTTTCATTCTGGAAATTGTTAAGAAATTTCAACATTTTTAATGCACAATTTCTATTTTTCTTTTCTTACAAATACCAAAAGCTAGTAGAGCACTGCAAGCAGCTGTCTTCGTCACTGATTATGTGGCCACGATCCTATCAGGATACTTTTAAGTAACATTTAAACTGAATGGAAAATCCAATCTGAAGGACTAGTGATTTGCTCAACTTAAAAAACAACAAATAGACCCTTGATGGACACACATAGATATAAACAAAAAAAAGTCAGGAAGTCATACCCATAATGAATAAAACAATTACCTTTCTTATTCTTAACTTCAAAGTATCCATCCTTCTCAATTATTTCCATAAAGTCTTCTCCCAAGCGTTCTGAAATGCCTCTCTTCAAATCATAGCGGCCAGAAACGTTGACAACTAAATGGATATCCTGATATTTAGAAGCATAAAGAAGCACTACATCTCCTCCTGCATTTACATTATTTCATTGATACAACACTTACAGGGTAATATTCATATGAAACTTATTAGCCAACTAACACATTAAGTAAACAGCAATTGCAGTGAACAGAGATAATTGACAGATTTAACACTTAAGCCTCACTAAGTCAGCAAGAAAAGAAATATAATCTAAATGTCAGCTTGGTTACAAATTCCTTGTATTAATGATCAAAACAATACAAGCAAAAGATATTGCCAAGATCCAGCAAAAGGAAGACCTGAAAATAACTCATTGCTTAGAATGAAATTGAAGATACAATCTTCATCGACGGTTTCTGTTAGAAAACTTACATACAACTTCTATTGTGCAGTGTGGAATCTTTTTCTATTTTAACTAGTTAAAATTTCATGTATGAAACAATAGGGGACACTCACCTTTACTATGCCCAAGAATCGCACTTACCACACGATTTTTCCCAGAAAAGTGTTGAATTACGGCATGTAAATCATCAGCTTCTCGGGTATAGTTACCATACTGAAATGAACCATCACTTTCTCTGAAAAATGTTATGATACAAGTTAACTACTAATATGAAACAAAGTGAACAGAACCCACAACTCCAGAAATTGACATAACAAGTAAGAACCACACCATATAACACATATTGTCTATGCAACAGAAAGCACCTCATAGAATCTCTAAAATGACGTCTTTTAATTCTACTCACCCATTTCCAGCAAAATCAAAACGAAAGACACTGATTCCTTCTTTCTCTAAAGCAGCGGCAAGGTTCACCATAGTATTATGTTCCTGAAGTAGAATTAAACCAAGTGAGATTCCATAAATTATTACTATTTCTACATAGACAGACATTTTCAGTCATTGTATTTGTTATTGAAAGCAATGTAAAAGAGACGGAAGGACCCAACTCCGACACTACCAAGTACCAACCTTGTTGCATCTGAAACCATGACATAAGATTACAATCCCTTTAGACCCAGTTTCATGCAATAAGCCCACCAGTTTTTCTCCATGCTTGTTTGGAATTATCACTCTCTGTTGCTCAATCACTAAATGAAAGAAAAGGGTCACTTTTTTTTCCAAATTTCTTTTAAGTTACATAAAAAATTGGAATCATAAAATTTCAAAAGAAATTACTATTAATTTGGGACCTGGGTTTTGAGCAGAGTGAGAGTGAGCCATCCTCGAGGTTGTTGAGTTTGCTGTGGAGATGCGATCGGCGAATAAGATGAAGCAATGAACCTGTCAAAAAGGAGATTTAGGATAAGTTGATAAATTTAAGAGCAATAGATGAAAGTTACAAGCAATAGCGTCCATTTCCTAGTTACCTCTCCCTCTCTTGTGGTGTACTTACTAAAGCAAGACCGCAAATGGGTTTTCTGTATCTCAGTCTCGCAGAATAAAAGAGAAGAATGATCAACATTTTCGCGTCCGGTTAAGGGTACATATTAATGAACATGCGATTTCGGTGAAATTAAAAATAATAGCGGTATAAGGTTAATTATGATGAAATTAAAATAAATGATAAAAATATATAATTGGTTGTAATGATAATGATATGACAAAAAAAAATTATTGTGAGAATCAAAATGGTTACTAAAGATTAAAATTTATGTGTAATAAAAGTTTTAATATAATTTTCAGTTAATAATTAATTAAAATTTATTTCAATTATTTTTAATGTTAAATAAAATTTTAAAAATTTTATATTAAAAAATTAATTAAAAATTTAAATATAAAATTATAAAAATACTTCAAAATATTTAATATTTGAAATATAATATAATTATAAATGATAATTAGACAATTAATCTTAAATATAAATATAAACATAAATATAAAACATATAATAAAATAAACAAATTTAAATTACTAAAAAACCTATGTTACAGTGCCTTAGGAAATATAAAAAACAGAATGGGCATTATAGTCCAAAAACTTTAACTGGAGTCCGTGGTTTTCCATTGCACCTTGAAAGGCCCAGTACTCCATTGGAGAAATGGTAAGATTAATCCCACCGAACAATGCTATCCAAACAAAGCTGCTCTGCGATTTGAAAGGAAAAAGAGAAGAAAAAGAGACGTGAAATCACACCATACTGATACTGCGATTTATTCCAAATGCAGTCAAAAAGTCGGGCCCAATTAACCGGTTTGACCGAATAATTCGGTAAAATATTAACAATTCTTATATTTATATCATTTTTATATAAAAATTAATGTTATAATTTGTGTCAAAATATACTTTTTATTAAATTTATATATAATTTTATTAAAATTTTAATTTTTATCAATTTTTCTTTTTAATTCATATAATCATTATACTAAATTATCATACGATATTTTAAATTATCAATTTTTATTTACATGATTAATAAATAATTAAAAATTTACTCCAAAAGGCAAAATCTCATCCGTTTATAAAAATTAATTATAGAAAAATATTTTTGATTAATTTTTTTAAATTAAAATTAAATAAAATAAAGCTTGAACTTTAAAAAACCTTAAAAAAAGTTGGAAACATTCAAATCACTAAAATTTAAGTTGCTTCTTTATTCTGTCCATGAATTTTTTTTTCCCAACCGTTCTTCAATGCCTCCATTCAAATCAAAGCGGCCAGAAACAACTTAAAAACACCTGATGGAGAGGAAATTCATAAAAAAAGAGAGTTCGAGAATTTGATAAGTTTAAGATAAATGAATGACGGAGTTTCCATTTCCTTTTTACTTGTTCAGAGTTTCTTTTTTCTTACACGACAGCAGGCAGCAGCAAAGCAACGCTCCAAAAGTGTTGGGCCTATGGCCACTGACGTGGTCACGACACGACACGACATGCTTTTAAGAATAGGAGACCGGAGGTTATAATAGAAAAAAAAAAAAAAAGGGAAAATTGTATTAAGTTAAAGTCTTCGAAGAACTGGGCCTAAACTCAGCCTGGTCACTGGAACCGATAAAGTGAGTGAGCTTGGATCTGGTACAGAAACCGGACTCACCTCTTTAAGAGAACGGAGATGCTTACTTTTGGGCCTAATACATATATTATGAGCCACTAAAGAAAATCAAATTTTAAAATTTATATCAATATAAAACCTAATTTATAAATTGAATAAAATTATAAAAATAACCGCAATAAAAATAAAGGCAACTATTATAAAGAGTAAGGTATTTAAATTTTTTTTTAAGATAATAATCAAAAGATTACATTAATTAACAAGGAATAAATGAATTATAAAAAATAAAAATCTTTAGGCAATATCAACTTATATTAATGTAAAATTTTTAATTTTATATTTTTTTAATCATTGATTTTAATATATCTAAGGATTAAGTGAAAAAAAATTGACAGCCAATTGTCCAAAATATCCCCCATTAAATCAATCTAACAAATTAATTAACCTCAAGACATCAATTAATTATCCAATTATCCCATAAAAATTTAATTAAACACACTTGGCACAAAATTGTTCTTTGATTTTGCAAAGTCTTGCATACTAATAAAGATTTTTACTTTTTATAATTCATTTATTACTTATTAATTAATGTAATCTTTTCATTATTATCTTAACAAAAACACATTTCTCTTTATAGAAATTGCCTTTTTTTTTATTACTATGAATTTTCATAATATTATTCAATTAAAAATTTATATATATATATTTTAAAGATGACTTGATGTGAAGCCGAAGACACTTTGTAATATTATATATTAAAAGTGTCAGCTCACTTGCTATTCTAAAGGGGAAGAAAGAATCTATAAATGAAAACAACACAATTTTGTGATAAGAAAAACTTATTATTGATGTTGATTGAGTTAATTTTTTTAATATACAAGTAGTTTAATCGTAACTTAGAAATAAATATTTCTTCCTAACATTTGAAGTCATTCTCACTCCATACTATGTATTATTAAAGCAAGGTTAGCAAAAATTCTTAAAAGTTTCCATCCCCTCAAAAATATTATTGCAAAAAAAAAAAAATGTCATTTCTTTTATAGTGATATATATATATGTGTATGTATGAAAAATCATCTCATTCGTTAACATTGGAATTTTTAAATTCCACCAACAAGATTAATAAAGATATTAAAAAATAAAAATTGATTAGAAAATTAATAAAATAAATGATAATTTTATTATCTTACTTTTGAAGTTTAAAACTTCCATAGAAAATGTATAAGAAACCTACATATATATTATAGCATATGACACTTACAAAATATTCTGAATTAATTACTTCTCAAATAATGCAGTATACCTATACTACCATAGATAAAAAGGATTTCTTAAGGATACTGTTTTTTAATTGGTTTTTTGTTGAAACTTCACGCAACTCAACACTTGTGTTTGACACCTGACTTTCGAAGTTTCTTTTTTGGTCTTCTTGATTACTGGTATTAAAGGTTATTTGAAAAATTAAAAAGGTGGGCCAAAAGATAGAGAAATGCTGGATTTATGCTCTTTTATTTCTCTTTCAGTTTTTTTTTTTTTTATGTTTTTCAATAAAAATTTTTGTCTCTTTTGGTTGTTCAATTGAATGTGGCTTTTTTTTTTTTTTTATTTCGAATAGTGTCTGTTTTGCAATGTTGAATTTGGTTTTATGAAACTTAATTGTTGAATGGGGTTTCAGTTTTTATTTTTTTGAATTTTTTGTATTTTATTGAAGAATATTTCTTCAATGTTAGGTTTTTTTTTAAACTGTTTCTTCTGGGGTTTGCATATTATTTTATTCTCATTTAAAGTGATGTAAAGATAATATTATTTGAGATTAGGTTGCATAAATGGTGATTTGAATGGGATTTCTTTGTAGACTGGTTTCTGTTTCTTGTTTGATTGATTTTTTTTTTTTGGACAAGAATTGTTTGGTGCTATTTTGTAATTAAGTTCAAGGTGAGTAAATGTTTTTTTTTTTTATTGTCCTTTTGTGTCTTTAACTTGAATGAAATTTATTTCATTGCATGTAATGTGATGATGGTTGTTTGAATCATTTTTTTTTTTACTTGAATGTTGGTTCGATTTGAGTTTGTGTATTTGTAAGCTTTTTTGTGTTTTTTTTTTTTTTTATGTTTGATTCATTGTTGGTATTTTGAGGTTTACATGTTATTTTATTTTGGTTTGAAATGGATTAAAGGTTGTGTTGTTTAAGTTAGGTGTTTCATTTTTTTCCTTGCAAGAGTTGTTGAAAATTGTTTACTGATTATGTTTAAGGTAAATGAATAGTATGGTGTTTTGTTTTGGTTAGGTTTTTGGTAATTATTTGTGTCAATGGATTTGTTCGATCCAAAACTTGAGACAATGGGTGTAATCCGAAAAAGGATTCATAAATGATTGTTAATGGAGTCAAAGTTACCAAATTTTGAAGAGTCGATATCAATTTATGCCTAATTGCTCTGCATATAATTCTTCTAACTACATTTTCTAAACGAACTAGAGCCAATCCGAATTGATCTTGTAAGAGATCCACTACAACAAATACTCTTATTTTTCAAATGATTGACATCGTCAAGTATACCCATTCCAAATTTCACTCCAATCAAATGATCCGCAACTGCCAATATATCTCACGGTAACAAAATTGATTTCCACTTTGACTTTGTGGACCACATCCGGAGCCATCCTTCTTTTTGGGTTGCTTGTATGGTTGATAGCCTTCTTTAATTGGGAGGCGGTGTTCCACCAAGTTCTATCCAGGCCGGGCATTTCATGGTAGTTCCAGGCAAAAACAGTCCTTGAACTCCTTCCAAGTAACAAGTAAGAAAGGAGTTGGGATCCTTCGTCTCATCTTCAAAGAGCTTTGCATGTTATTTTTTTTTTTTAGTTTAAAAGTTGTGTTGTTTAAGATTTTGTTGTATAAATGATGGTTGGAATTGTTTTCTGTTGGAGTTGTTCAAGATTATTTGCTAATTAGGTTTGAGGTGAGTGGAAAATTCAGTGTTCTGTTTTGATTGTATACCTTATGTTGGAATATTTCTGATTGCTCTCAACTCTAATATTCACGTTTTTATATGTTAACTAACCTTAAGAATGCAGTTAATATATTGGATGTTAGAATTTAATAATGTTATGTTGCTAATAGTGAAGTTCTTTTGGTTATTTTGTACTGTCTGGAGCAAGTTAAGAATAAAGATATTGAAATGAAAGATCACACCGATAGTGTGCATCAACTATATTGGGACCCTATACATTTTGATTTCATAGCAACTGCATATAGAGATAAGACTGTTTAATTGTGGGATGCTCCCAGTAAGTGAATGCTTTTTTGCATTGTTGTTTAGAACAATGAAAAGGGGAGGGAAAGACAACTATAGTTTCATATGGCTCAACCATAATTCTTATGTTGAATATTATGAACACTTCATTGATTCTGAATGAAAGTTGCTTATTGAAGCTAACTAAATAAATAGTTATGATGTCAATCATCAGATAGGTGTTTACCTTTGCCTGCTTTGGCTTTTGTAGGTGAAAAGTGCTCACAACAGGCAAAACTTAGTGGGAAGAATATAAACATCACCTATAAACTTGATGGGACACATATAGCTGTTGGTAATAGGGTATGTCTTACTAATTTATGTCACTTGGAGAACTTGAGCACATTTATGACCTGAAAATTTTTACATGTATAGTTTCTATAGCAATTTTCATCATGCTAATAAATTATTTTTATCATTGATCTTACTCTGTTTTATTTTACTGCAAGATGATGAATTAACAATATTAGATGTTTGAAAATTTAAGCTTATTCACAAATGTAAGTTCAGTTACGAGGTATTATTGAGTTCATACCATCTCGAGCAAGTCCAACCCTCTTAGTCTAGGACTTGTGCGCCATCCGTGACGCACACAGCTAGTTGCTACTGCATTGCAATTGACCCAACAAGAAGGTTTGGTTTAAATCTGTCTTAACTTCTAAGCTTTATTGCATCTTGACATTGTTGCATCTTAACATTGTTGGTCTTTGGGATATATGAGGGTGTGCAACCAACAATGTCAAGATGTAACAAAGCTTAGAAGTTAAGACAGATTTAAACCAAACCTTCTTGTTGGGTCAATTGCAATGCAGTAGCAACCAGCTGTAAATTAAACAGTAAGTTAAACCGAACCTTCCTTTAAGTTAAGCAGTAGCCACTAGCTGTAGGTTAATCCGCCTTAGCTTCTACGCTAGAAGCAATAAATTAAGCAGTAAGTTAAACAAGTCTTTCTGCTTAGTCTATAGCTCGTCTATTTTGGTAATAGTTGCTTAAAAAAGTCTTTGTCTTTGTTTCTTCAATTTTTGTGTGGAATGCTTCTGGAATTAACAATTAACAATGTTAAATTACTCTTAAATAATTAATTTATAGTAACTGCTCATATTTCTCTAAAAAAAATTAAGTTTTTATTTTTTAATTTTAACTCTATCAAATATCAATTCAATATAACACTAAAAATTATTGTAATAAATTAAGCGAAAGCAGATGCCCCCATTAATTTCATAAAAAAAAGAAAAAAACCTTAATAGAGTTAATTAATGCATTTGAAGCTGTTTTTTTTTTTTATATTAATTTGAAAATTAAAAAAATATACTTTAATTATTAAAGTTAATCGTACAACATTCTACCAGCAAAACCACACCGTTACTAGTATACTTTATCTTATTTTTATACTCCATCGAATAGACATATATATTTTCTCGTCCAACATATCTCACCCATGTGTCGAAGTTGAAAAATCTTTCTTTCACACTATGAAACTTTGTTCAACGAGATATTCTAATTAAGGGACCAGAGAGAGAAGAGAAGAAAATTATTCATCAAAAATTAAAGTTGGGTTAACATAAAAAAATGTTGCAATCGTTTCCAATATTCTTCATATTTCCATGCATGTCGTCTTGATAATGAATTATCACTCAATTTTATAATAATAATAATAAAAACGACCCAAAACTTAAAACCATAGGAAATGAAGAAAACCGTCAACATCGTTGGAGACGGAAAAGGGGATCAACGCATTCACACATATGATAAATACATAATCACATGCATGATCACTGGTCGGACTTTTTCATTTGTTTTGTTTATTGATGAATCTTTAATTTAGTTGTTGCGCGAAGCTAGAGGCCATTCTGCTCTGCATCAATCACAAATTGCAGCAATAAAAGATATTGGGTCAAAGTGTTAGACTTGGTTTTGCGAATCTAAGCTTCGGATAGAGACATGGCAGTAGCTAGTATTTTGGTCGTTGGAGTTGTTGGGCAGGAGAGGAAAATCTGAGCAAGGATACATCTTCGAATTACAAAGGAACTACATACAATATGAGATACAAGGAAAGAATTACAGTTATTAAGTTTAAATTATATATTTGTTGAATGTTTAATTTTAAAAATAATTATACGAATGAATTAAATTTTAGATTTTAATGCAATGCAATACTTTTCGAACAAAAGAATCATACAAATTACTTAATCATTGTTCATTAATCTCATTCCTTTATAGCGATTACATATCGTCGTACGTGCAAATATTAGTAGCGTTTAAACAATTGTTAATTTGGATCAAATGTAAATTGATATTGAATGATAACTTTCTCACTTTAAAGTACTTGGCTATTTGCAAATCTTAAAATTGAATTTTTATTGATAATTTTTCTTCAATGGGGGTGGGATTTTGCTTACATATTGACATATATATATATATATATTTGTGCCGCCATGTTTAACCCAAAAAGAAAGGTAACTAAGAAGTGCCTTAAAGTAGTAGTTAAGAGAATTGGCCAAAAGCTTAATCGCTCAAGACAGACGATGTCAAAAAGGAAAAGATTCTATATCTAACTTCAGCATACTTTTTCAATATGGTAGGTTAGTATCTCCTTAAAGGGGAAAGTTAAATAAGTGCAAATTGGAAAGCCATGGTTTAGGAATTAGTGCAAAGTTGGTATGTATTAAGATTTAAATTTAGACCTATTAGTTATTTTTTAAAAGGTAATAGTATAAATTTATTAAATTAATTATTGGTCAAGAAAGTTTTTATATAATTTAATTACATGCTTATTAGTAATTTAGTAGTATATATATAAAAACATTTATATGAAACAGTTATCCACATTAGTATATTCCACATCTAAGAAAGATTTAAATGGAGTTGAAATTAAAATCAAAAATTAAAATAAAAAATTAAAATCGATAAATTAAAAGATTTCATTATATAAATTAAATGTGCAAAGTTTGAAAAAAATTTAATAAATTTTGATATATATATTTTTAGATAGACATTTGTAGTAAAATATTAATAAAATTTTTACCGTTAAATAAATATCAATCAAATTTAAATTATAAACAACATTTTTAATAATTTTTTTATATAATATTAATTTTTATATTGAATTCTATCAATCTATCGATTGAATTTTTTATTAAAATTTTTATTAAATCATTTAAAAAAAACTTCACAAATTTCATTTAAAAATCTTTATGTAAGTTTGATTATATGTCTCTTTCATTTAAATCATGTTACGAAATCGTTATATAATTAAAAAAATTAACTATTTATTATACTTCACATGTGTAAATTTATTAAAATAAATATTTATTATTTGATTATTGCTTTTGATAGGTAATATATGATTAATTTTTTAATAATGTGATCGATTAAATAATATAATTTGAATGAAAAATATATATATACTAACCTAGAATAGTAGTTTCAAGCAATATTTTTTTATATCGACAGGCAGATTATTATTATTAATGGATCAATAGATGTCAGATGATCTCAGCATCAAATTTTAATCAGTCCTTCCTTCAACTAGATTCTGGAAAAGGTATTTTTTTTTTTCTTTTTAAATAGTATTTTATGGTTGCCATAAAAGAAGCTGTTGTCATTACCATATATGAACACTAAACATGATACAAGAAACATTTTCTTACAATAAAATGGGGAAGGATTGTGTTCATACTTAGTTTATTTCAATGGAATCCAACATGTAATAATAAAACAGAATTATGTTTAGACTTTCTTTTTTTATGGAAAGAATGAAAATCCATCAAAACTTGAAAGGTTTTTACGATATTAAACAAAATATTAATTATATGTTCCAAAGAAATTTAGGGGAAAATTTTAAAAAATAAAAATAAATAAAGGGGCAAAAAGAAAACTGCGTATTCCCTCCTTGACTCTTTTCAAACAAATCATCGCGAGGGAGGACTTTGAAGTTTGACCATTACTTTTCCAAATGTCTCTTGGCTGGCTGCTTCTTCTTTCGTTTTCTTTGCTTATATCAACCCTCCTTCTCCTCAATACTTTTCCAACTTCTAACTAGACAATTCTTTCCTCTCTCACCATCACCACTGCACAAAGAGGGGAGGGCCCCTTTCGCTGTTCCTCTCTAATGGGTCATAGCTTATTTCTTTGTTAGTTCTCTGCTACTTTTCAAACCCTTTCTATCTCTCAGTTGGCTTTGAGTGTTTGTTTGTTTGCTTGTTAGTTTGTTCTCCTAAGTGTGATCAACTTGATTTGGAATCATTTCCGGAGACCCTCTTATCAGTTCTCAGCCCAAATAAGCATCTCAGTTCGCTTGTTTTTTATCATGCGAGAGACCCAAGTGTCTTCTCCAAATACTTGATTTCTCCAATTTATTTCAAGCGGATCGAGCATCTCAATTCTCAGGAATGGCAAAAGGAAGCGAAACAATCAGATGACATGAAGGATAAACCGGCAGTATAGGGATCCAAAAGGGGTCTCGTATACTGCTATTTTGTTAGGGGAAAAGAAAAGGTTTTACAATCTAGAACTCCCATGGACGCTGTCTTCCACCTCGATGAAGCGTCCCGTTCTGAATTTCTCCAATTACTCATGCAGTCTACCGGCTGCACATACATTTGCCTATGGTCGTACCAGCATCAAGCAAAGTATCTTCTTCATCTCTCTCTGATCTCTCATTCACTAACGCTTCTATATATGTATTCTTTTATGATTTGGATCACTAATATTTTGATTTCAACAGCTGTTTAGTTGGTTGGGACGGATGTTACAATGAAGTAAACGCCCCACCCGGAGCTTTGGGGCTCTTCGTCAAATATCGCCAATTAATATTCACTCTTGGAAACGATCAGTATGATAAAATATTTTGTTGCTAATTAAATGTTAATTTTTTTCTACTTGATTAATGAAGTTATAGTTTTGCCATTAACCTCTGGGATTTCTGTGGTACAGTGGCCTCGTTCCAGGATTTGCTTTCATGAATAACAGGCCCTACATTGAGCTAAGGGAATTGGACCTTCAAAATCGGGCATCCGATTGGACACAGCGGCAGTTTTTTCGGGTAAAGATCAATGGAAACTTTAACGACAAGAACTAATACTGCATTTTTTTAGCTGGAAGTAACATAGCATCTTTATGTCTTAATTGCAGGAAGCAGGAATTAAGGTTTGTTCAATTTGTTGTCGAAGCTCATGGCGCCTTTGATCTTCATAATTAGAAATAGTAATTTAATCCTGATGATGTGCTTCTTTTTGTCTGTTATATATTGCAGACGGCTGTGTTCATGGGATGCAGGAGTGGAGAGATTGAATTAGGGTCGTCCAATGTGGTACATGTAAGAAAGTATAATATAATGCCATTTGCTTTTGTTTATTGAAAATATTTGTCTATATAAGTATATCTAATTTCTCACTGAACTTTCTTGTTAATAGCTTAACATGGAGATGGAGATGAGAAACTTTTTCCCAGAAGATTTTTCAAGACAATTATGTCCGGCAGGAGATCAGCTTCCCCAACCAACTGATCCGAACAGGCCATCTTCGTCTTCGTCATCGTTAAGGTCACTGTCCACGGGTAGTCCAGACTCTTCTCTGATATTCACCATCCCAACCGCATCCCACCCCCAGCTTCCGACTGAAACAACACCCTCTTCATTGCAACCAGTCTCTTCCTCAATGAACGATCCACACGAACAAGCCATGCAAGCCTTGTCTCAAATGCGGAGCAATATTCAGTTACCGACGCTAGAGAGCGAAAATGCTGCAATGACCAGAGCAATCCTTGCTGTTCTAACGTCTCCTTCTTCTTCTTCCTCTTCAACATCCCAACATCCCCAACAAAGCCAAAATTTGCCTTACAATTACCAGCCAAACCCCAAAGCTAGTGCGTTTAAACGTTATTCCTCCGTGTTAGGAGCCCCAACAACTCCGGTGAGGGCCAGTTTACGAGCTCGAAGTATGCTGAATCGAGCCATTATGTTTTATAGAAAATTCAATTTAGCGAGGCGTGAACAACTGCTGCGAAGCCGCCCTACTAGCAATCAGCTCCATCATATGATGTCAGAACGCAAAAGGCGAGAGAAGCTCAATGAGAGTTTCCATGCATTGCGATCGCTTCTTCCTTCTGGCACCAAGGTACCATATCATTTTTCAAGTACTTAGATTTTAGTCTCAATGTTGAATTAATTTTATACAACAATGTTCATTGAATTTGGTCGACTTGGGATTCATGTAGAAAGACAAAGCATCGATGCTCATTAGTACGAGGGAGTACTTGACCTCATTGAAATCTCAAATTGAGGAGCTGAGTCGGCGAAACCAGTTATTAGAAGCTCAGCTTTTGCCTTCCAGAGAAGCCGCTGGTGGGGAAGTAAGTGGTTCATCAAACGAGAGATTAAATGTTCGGATTACGCCTGTATCCGAATCAACATCTGAACAAAGACTTGTTGACCTGAGAGTCAGTGTTAGAGGAGAAAGGCCAATGGTGGATATCTTAATCCACCTGCTAGAATTTTTGAAGCTCGACAGAAATGTGAGCTTGATGTCCATTGAGGCTAACACCCAGATAACTGAATCAGGCTCAGTTAATCATGTTAACTTGAGACTCCGAATTGAGGTATGCCAATCAAATACCCTAAATTGATTCCTGCGTGAAAAAACTTTAACTTTTTCCCTTTTTTTCCAACAAAAAATGCTATATTTAGTGTGTATTTATATATATATAATTGTAAATCTTAAATTTTGAATGTCAAATTTATTAAATATTTTTTAAAATAATTGCATGAAATGCATGAAGTATTAAAATGAAGTTCTGTATTCTTATATATGTTTAATTATTATAAAACTGTCATGATGGGAAATAGGAAGGAAATTGAATTGAAGCTAATAAAAATTGGTGGGAAGTGATTGATGTGTAATATTTACTAAATTCTAGTACTTTTGTGGTAATGCAGGGCAATGGATGGGATGAATCCACCTTCCTGGAAGCAGTTAGGAGGCTAGTAGCTGACTTGGCACAGTGCTCTAATATATAATATCTTTTTCTTATATTAATCTCTCTAATTAAAGTGGTCAGACCAATTTATTATGCGGACAGCAGCTATTTTCACTTGATGGTGTGCTCATCTTGTTTTTTTGTTTTTTCCCTCCCATATGATCACATCCATTTGATCTCCACCATCAGATGTTAAAATAGTAATCCAGTTATATGAGTGATGTGTCGCAATTTTGATAGCAAAAGCTAACAATTTTTCTGTAGTTGATTTTATAAATGTATGACTAAATTGATGTGTCGCCCAAATTGACTGGAATTTTGTTGAAGGAGGAGACTATGAAAGCAACCTTTTTTTTTAATTGAGCAAGAAATCATCCATAAATCCAATAATAAGACATTGACAGATGCATTCAAAGTTGGTCCAATGTAAAAAAATATTACTTTTCCAAGACCTCCCATTCACACCAACTGATTCAAAATAATTTTCAAGTAATGCTGCACAAATTATTTTACTAAGTTAGTAATAATCTAATTATATATATACTAAGTTCATAATTGTTTGGTTAAATGTTAATTTGAAATTTAATTTAATTAATTTATATAATTATTTTTTAAAAAATTATTTAATAATATTAAATTTTAATATTTATAATTTTTTATGTTCGATCTTAAAATTTGATTCTTTATTAAAAAAATTAAACGATTGGCCACGCCATCACCATATTCAGATTCCAAAAATCCAAAATTTGGGTCATCATTTCTTTTTCTCTTTTTCTGACGTAATAAAAAGAAATTCAAAGGGGGTTTTAGAGACGGCGCTTTTGACTGAAATTTTGTTTTGAAAGGAAGTGAAGCAGTGGGAATTTCGTCTGGACCATGTTTTTGTGATCCTATTTTCAATTGACTTGTCTTACCTAATCTGGTTTCGTCGCGGCAGCCACAGTTTTTGAGAGAGGTGTCGGCGACACGCCTGACCGATATTATATTCTATAGGATAAAAGATTATAATAATGTATTTAATTTAATTTAGTTTAACAATAATTTTTGTTGTGCACATTGGATTTCCTCTAATTTTGGGCGTGGACGGGTCAATGTAATTTGGCTACCCCCAATTTTTGTAGTCTATGGATAATAATTATATCCTAACAGATTTTTATTATTATCCAAAAATTATTTACATATAATTAATAAATTAAATATTACATGATTGCTCTTTTCAAAAAAAAAAAATGTTACTAGATGGCTTAAAGAGAAAATACTAAAATACCTTTATCACTTATTATTTTGTTTCTACGTAGAGTAAGATTTATTTAAATTATTTTCAAGCAAAGTTATGGTTTATCCAATACATCCTATGATTTTAGCTTTTTTTTTTTATTATTTGCTAAGAGTGTTATAGAAAACTTGTTATATAAATCCATTTTATTTTTTTTAAATTACAACATAAAATAAAAAAAATTTAATATTGAATTTTAATTTCAATATTATTAGATATTATATTTTCTTTTCTTGTTTTTGAATGATAAGAAATGCACTGCTTAATATGCATATTCATCTATCACTTTTTTTCTATAAGTTTTCAGTTTTCACCTATCATGAACTATCTCGATAATATATTATCTATAATTATTATAATATAATTAATTTATTATAATTTAATATTGGATAGGATACATAATAAAATTTATATAATAAATTCTGAAAACATATCACCTATAATAACTATAGTATAATTAATCAATTACAATTCAAAATAGTATAGAATCCATCAAAATTTCATATGAAATTTAAACTTATAAAACTTTTATATAATTTTTTATTGTAATTGAATTATTATAAAATTGTAATAAAAAGAATTATAAGTGAAATGTTTTATAAATTCTTATATAATTTTTTGTTGTGATTAATTAATTATAAAATTGAAATTAAAAAAATTATAGATGAAATATTTCATATCTTCTTCATTTTTATTTTTTTAGATATTTGTAATAGTAATAATAAAAATAATAAATTAAAACATGGATGCAAAGAGTAACAAAAACATTATCCGCAGTTTAGATTCTGATATTCAAGTCAAAGTAGCTGTGCAAAAAGGTGTTCAGTATTATCATCCACTGAACAGCGTCAAGCGATTGATTCTTCAGAGAAAGAGAGAGTGAGAGAGCTCAACATTGAATGTTAAGATAAAGATATTTGATAAGTCAACGGCCTTAGTCTTGCAGGGCAAAATTCGAGTTCCCATATGTAGTCCCGAAACAATTGGTCTCAAAACGCTGCACCAAATCCACCGAGCCACCAAACCAGATGAGCCTTTTCAAGGTCCGTGAGTTCCTCGTAGTTGCCTTTTTGACGCATTTTCCCTTGATTAATTCCCTCGAACCTCAAAAGCTAGTGGATCCCACATCTAGAAACCAAATATTTCTTCCGTGAAGAAAAAAAAATAAAAAACAAACAAAGCATTTCTTCCCCCCTTGTTTTACTGAAAGAAATGGTTGCAGTAGTCAGCAGACAAACAAAAAAAAGTTTGTTCCCATGCTGGGATGGAAGGAAGCAGTTTTTGAAAGGAAACTTTTCACCTAATTTTTGGCATTAATAAAACAATTTAAGTACCCCTCAGGCCTCAGTCAAGATTTTGAAGCAATTAGAAAAGTTTAGAATCTAAGACTAAGAAATATGAAACAGTACAAGATTTTGAACACATGTTATAATTGATTTCAGTCAAAATATGACATTGCAGGCTTGAAGCTTGAAAACCTAAAAAATATGGGACTTTATAGAGTTGGATTCGAAGACTTGTAATTGTGTATTACTGACCATTCTTTTCTTCTTTCTTTTGGGTTTTCCTAAAGATCATCATTCTTCATAGATCCAATGCAACTGGAACCTGCAAACAAGTCATATTCATACAGGAAAGAAGCTAGCTAGGATAAAATTTTCTTTGGGAATATTAATGCAACAAAAGGATGAACAATCTGACTAGTTTACAGTTGCCAGGAACTGCAAAACTAGTCGATTGTGTTGTTGAGCTTGAGGCTGAAGCATCACCCTTCTTGCCTTCAAGCTTACCTTTAGGCACAAGGGCAGCTAGCTGAGATAAAAATAAAGCTATTATTAGGACTGCCTATAAATATGATAAATTGCAGTATTGCACCGATAAAAACATACAATTTCAACCCTTAAAAGGATGAATATCCAATATATTTGCTACATCAATAATTATTTCTGTTTGTGGCGAGCTGAGTTAGAGGGACAAAACTCTAAAATCACAAGAGAAAAAAAGAGAGCAGTTAAAAACAAAGGATGACATGTCATCGTTAGGGGTTTACTAACAAATTAGTGAGGTGGTTGAATTGATGTAACACTGAGATGTCAAATTGATTTAACATGTCAGATCAACTCAAAAATCCAAAATATTCTTGATTATTTATTGATTGTCTCTAATGAGAAAAGATAATCAAAATACCCTTTGAACTTAAAAATGCGTCTAACAATTTCAAAAATCCTCCTTTAAATTAGCTTCATAACATAACCTAACTAAGCAGCCTACAGGAAAACTGTAGACAAAGAAAAGAAAGCAGATTTCACAAAGAAGAAAGAAGAGAAGCACATTCTACCAACTACCAGCCGTTTTGATTAGGTCACATTCCATCATGGAAAAGAAATGAAACCAAAACCACCTTACACTGTCAGCAACAACATCAACAGATGCATTCTGTATAACGGTAGCCACAAGACAGAGCTTGTTCTCCACAATCTGGTTGCAAAAGAAGCAAATTCTCAGTGTTTACCCCAATTGCCGAAACTAGAGATGAATCAAGAGCATACTCAGCATTGGCAGAAACACAATAACCTGCATTTTTAATGCTATAAAACATGTAAGTATCCGGCAGAAAGATAGCAGAAACAACCTCAAAAGAAAGATGGTCACAACAAAATTTCCTCCACCCTCCAAATGTGATCACCTCATGAATAGATTTAAGAATGTTATAAGCTGCATACAACACTCCTTTCCGATATGTCAGATGCTTATTATATAATAATCTTTTAAATGTCAGAAATCAAGAATTAATAGACAAGGCGTATATTGGAATGTGACACCAAAGCCTAACCCCTATCATAGATACCTACTATCTGTTCTAGTCATGAAACAGAAGAAATTTGTTTTCTAGCAGCATAGCAGGAAGAAGTTACAAATGGAAAGCTATTCTACTCTACCAACACAGAATAATGGATGTGATACTGAATGAGCAGTTCATCATAGCAATGCATGAATCACGCAGTACTAAGTTAGAATACATTAAGTGACTCCCTTGCTTCTGTGTTTCAGAAATTACATGTAAAGCAAGAGTTGTCTTCCCAGAAGCCTCTGGTCCAAATATCTCCATGACACGGCCCTGTAAAATTCCAATAAAGAGATGTCTAAGGAACTAGTAAACATTACAAGCAGCAATTACTTAGTAGCAGGATGTATTAAGCGAAGAATGAAAAAAAAAAAAAATGAAACAAGAATTGCAGAGTACCTTTGGAAGTCCACCAGTTCCAAGTGCTATGTCCAAAGCAAAAGAACCAGTGGAAAGTGCAGGAACATTTTAGGAGACACAGAAAAGCCAAGCCACATAATAGATCATTTTCCAAAATATCTAGTAATCTGATCCAGGGCTTCTTTTAGGGCCAAATCTTTCTTGCACATATTCTCCTCCCAGGAATCACTTCCATCTGACTTGGATTTCCTTCTACATTCAAGCATACATAACTCAAGATACACCCAAACACAAGAAATTAAGTACCATATTTACTTTTCAACTAAAAATTAATTCAGCTAAAGAAAAAAATAGCCAAAGAACTTCATCTTCTACCTTTCATTTATTTATTTATTTATTTTTGATAGAAAGGTGACACTAATTCAGCACTATGCTTTATGGTATAGTTGACTTGTTTCAATTAAATATCATCTTAGAATTCAAACATTCATTAAGTTAATAAAAATCGAATGATAAAGCACTATTCTACTGTCACATTGAGAAAATTACCAGATTAAAAATTCAAACCAAAAACCAAAACGTTAATCAACCAAACATAGAATATTAAATACCCAAATAACAATATTTTGGGCATCAACATTCAAATTAAAGCATCCAATGGAAGATCCAAATAGCTTTAGAAGAAAAGTTAGACATTTGAGAAGACGACCCTAATAACCCTCCCCTACGTACCTGCAAAAAGAAATGATCAGAAGTTTCATTTTTTTTTTTCTGTTCCTAAACTTTCTTATGAAAAAACTGAACACAGTGCACGATAATCAGATTTTTTGAACAGGAGAAAAACAAAGGGATATGAACTTCTTGACGGAAATAAAGAAAAAGGGTAAGCATTAAAGCCTCTGGAGCGAGAAGAAAACGTTTCGTGCTCAGCTCCTTGCTCTAATGATTAGAGATCTCTTAAGAGGACATTTGCTTAGTGTAGTGGTTAAAGTGCTCAGCTCCTTGCTTTAGCGATTAAAGATCTCTTAAGAGAACATGAGCTTAGTCTAGTGGTTACAGAACTCTTAAGAGGACATAGACATTTTGAGGAAACCTCCCCATGGCACGCAATGAAAGGGCTTTGTTAAAAGGTAGTCTGACGAAGGAGGGAAGATGAGAAAAAATTAGCTGTTATTATATGTTAACTCCATGGATTAAAAAATATGTGCTTTTGTTTTTAAAGAGAAGAAGAAAGAGAGCTGAGAACTAGAGAGACACTCGGCTGAGTGCTCTGTGAAACTGTGATGTTAGGGTTTTGGGTTGGACTTCAGTTTCCTTCCTTTTTGACATTTCAGTCCTGTTAAGCACCCATCCGTGACCGTCTTGGCCTTGAGGGGATTTGTCGTCAAATCACTGAAAGGGCCCAGTTTTAAGCATGGTTCGAGATCACGAGACCTTCAAAACGCCGAAAGCAGAATAAATGAAAACCAACACCATGGATATATGGAGAGCAGATGAAAGACTTTTAAGTCATTAGCCATTCAAGTGGAAATTTGGAGAGGTATCAACTGAAGAGATGGCAAGAGATTAAAAAATAACTATAATCAGACTGACCATAAATTGATTGATAATCAGCTATACAACAAGAACGCTAATGCAGACATATACCTATGAGTTTCTGGAAACATTCACATAAACAAATTCTCAACACATCTCGCAACCAGACCATATCCTATCAAACCAACAGACCAGACCAGACCGGACCAAAATAGGGAAAAGGATTCTCCAAACAAATCATTCATGGTATAACAAGAAAAATGTTTAAATAATAACCACCCAAACTGCAAAACCCCTTCACCCTTCTTTTCCAATCAACATCTTATAAAGCACCCTGTTGACATTTCCACACATCTGCCACATCCGCAATTAGAATCTACTGCTGCTTGCATTCTGAAGGCCTCTCACCTTGCTGCGCATCCCCTTTTGCTCTTCCACTCTTCTACAGTACACAACAACAGTAAGGCAAATTTTCAAAAAGAGGGGCCCAAAAAGAGACCTAAATCATATCAAATTCAACCAATTGGTGTACCTTTTGTGCAGAGGAGGACTGCAGCAACATTTTCATGCAATTTAATAAGGAACAAAATAAAAATTAGCATCATTTCATATTCTGAAATAATAATTGGGTGTGCATCTAAGATTAGATCATTTCAAATTATGAAAAAATCTAGCATCTCATACTCGTACCTTCTTTTTGGTCTTAGTTTCTTCCTCATCATCCTCCTCATCATCATCATCCTCTTCCTCCTCATCATCCTCATCCTCATCCTCATCACCATCATCATCTTCGTCTTCTATCTCAAGCTCATCTCCCTGAAAAGCTTCTCCTGTAAACCATGACACAGCATGTGGAATAATCTTGTCTCGAATTGTTGACCTGCACAAATAAACAGAGAGCATAAAACATAGTATTTTATACATGTAACATTGAGTAATAATGACTCAAATTATCAAGTTGACTTATCAATATAAGCTCATACAAAGTATGAAGAAGAGTTTAAACTGAGAAACAAGCCTATGACTAAAGTAAGCTGAAAAAAAACACACCCTATGTCATAATCCTGTTCCATTTGATTTTGTAGCTCCTCAGCCTGTGCAAGAAAGGAAAAACAATTTGAAGAGCATAAAAAATTAATCAATCATCCAAGTTTATATAGATATAGTGAGGTTGGCCATACAGTATCTTCATCAATGTCTTCATCATCATCAGGAACTTGAGGAGGATTGAAGAAGTTGAAGAAACTATCACAATCTTCTGTTTTTGTGATTGGCTTGGCATTCTTTGATCCCTTCTTAGGCTTCTTTTTAAGGAGCTTTTGTGTTAGGCATTTTCCTGGATACCATTCAATCTCCGTTCTACAAAATTAGGTGCAAAAAGTTTTAGTCAAACGAAGTAAGAAGTCTAGTAATTTAATAATGCAATAAGAAATTTTGTTCAAAAAAAATAGTAATGGTATTTACCCGATAGCTTTCTCGAGAATAGGTTCATCTTCATCAATCATGTGATATGTCTTTGTCAACACAGTATTCTTGAAATAAGGATTGGTGTCAAAGTAAAACTCAAGCTTGAATCCTTTGGGTTCCTCTATCCTAAACCACTTAATATCCTTGAGATATTTGAGAGCTCCTTCATCACGCTCAGTAATCTGATTCCAAACACAAAATAAGTAAAATTGAGCACCACTATTTCCAATACAAAAAACTTATCAAGACATAACTGGATAACTGACCTCATCAGAAAGCACTTCATTATTTTTCATTGCAGTGAGCCAAAAATCAGGAACTCCTTTCTCTGCATGAAGCACAATTGCATAAATACCTGTACACATAGAAAGAAAGGAGCTGACAGAGAAAAAAAGGGACCAGAATAGATAAGATCATACCTTCAACAGCTTTATCCTCTCCTTCATCCATAGCTGCTTCATTTGGAGTTCCTTCAGTTTCACCAACACCATTCACAATATCGTAACGCTACAATCGTATGATAATTAATCAGATAAAATCAACAATAACTGATCAAAAAAAGGAAACAAAATTCGAAAGGCAAACCTTGGCATATAAGGGTTGATATAGTTTCTGATATTTAGCTTCAAGTGCTGCCCTCTCCTCAAAAAACTTAGCCTCTATTTCATCATGTTGGCCCTGTTAAAGAAAATAGAAGAACCCAGACCATCAAAATAACATTTCACTTCCAAACATATTATAGCTCAGACAAGTTGAAATTTAATTACAACAATTTAGACCAGCTAGATGAGAATGGAAAGCAACTATAAAGCAAAAACATGCAAATTTCTACTCCATCAAGGCAAATTCAGTCCAATCAAAACGTGCACAGATATTCTTACAAATTCAACAAATTGAGTAATCCAAAACATCCAAGGACACACAAGTTTCTTAGCAATGAAAAAGTAAATCCGACCCCAAATTCGATTAATATAACAAAAACAAAACAAATAATTGAATGATATCATAGCAACACTTCACAGCACAATAAAAAAAAGTTTAGCAAGAAAGAGCATGCCTGGATCTCTCTTAGAACCTCCACACGCTTCCTGACAATCGGCGACAAGCTCGCCAGCATATCGGTGTGTTCCCCAGCAAGATTCTGAAGCTTATTCTGCAAACCAAAATATCAAAAACTAAAACACAGGAAAAACAAATAAACCAAAAAAAATTAAAACTCTGGGAGTCACCGACCTTGAGAGCATTAACGAGACCAGCTCGAGCTTCCTCGTTAAGAGCTGCAACCAAAAAACAAATAAAAAGATAAAGAGTGAGAGAAGCGAAAAAGAGTGAAGCGGCAGAGGTAGGGTTTTAGTTGGAGAGAGAGATTACCATCGCCGAGATCGGGCATGTTGAAGTTCATCCCTTCGTTGCTCATTGAGGGTTTCTTTAAGAGAAGAAACGGCAAGAAATGATTTGAAGGAAGGGCTAAAACCCTAGATTGGAAAGGGGAAAGTGTTATAGGAGTCTCGACTCTCGAGGGTTTGAGTGAGAGGCGTGTAAAGAAGACGTGGTTCGCTTCAAATCCTTTCCCTCTCCTTTATTAAAACTAGGGGTGGGAATAAAAATTAAAAATATTTAAAATTATAATATTTAATTTCATTTGAATTAATTTTTTTTACCTAATTTAAATCAAATCAGATATTATATATATATTTAATTTGAATTAAATTTTGAATCAAAATATAAAAAATAAAAAAAAATTAGATGAAATGAAATTATATATTTTTATTAGTTTATATATATTTAAAATTTTTATAAAATAAAAATCATTATTTTATATATAAATTTATTTAAATATATTAAAATTTTTATTAAAAATATATAAAAATTTAAAATTTAATAAATTAAATCAATCATTAAAATTTAATTCAAATTAAATTTATTTTTTAAAAATTTTTATTTAAATTTAAATTAAATTTTAAAAATTTATAATATCATATATTATATAAAAATATATAATTAAATTTAATTCAATCCAAACGGCTACCACTATTACTAAACCTAAACTCCCCGGACTCCTCATTATTATTGACTCCTCATTATTATTGTTGAGGCTTTTCTTTTTCCTTTTTATAGGAACAAAAACAGGGTTCGCACTTCGCACGCTTTTCAATTTGAGGAAGCACGACCCGTGTTTTTTTCTTTGAATATATGATTACCACATCAATTTAGTTTATTTTCTTTTGTTTTCTCTTCTTCGTTTTTATTAAGTACATGGTATTATTTTTCGACTTTTAAAATCATTGTAAAATTAAAAAATCAGTGTATTTACACATTAAATAATAGATAAACAAAGTTATAACTTTTTTTTTTTTACGACTAATTTAAAAACTTTGGTGGAAAAGCCCTTGATTTTGCGTGCCTTATTTAAAACCAAATTTATTTGTGTTTTATAGGAGTATTGAAGTATTAGCTGTAATGACAGAATGATTTAAGACTTCGTATTAAATTAGGGTTTTGATTTTTGACATATTTGAATTTCAATTTTTTAATCTTTTTAAAAGGTTAGTGCTTCACTGAATTGAATTATTTAATGGCTTTTGCAGTTCATTACGTTCAACAATAAGTTTGCAAAATGAGTTATATCATCAAGGGCACTAGTCAAAGTGTTACTCTGTATCTAATAGTTAGCTTCTAAGACTTTCATTTGATTCCTGTTATCAATATCTTTTAATAAAATAATAATTTAAAATATAATATAAATATGATAAAAAATAAAATACGAAATCAAATATTATGCAGAGCCACTGGCCTCTGGAATCACTATCCGGAAGTAAGCTGCATCTTCCACAGAAGGCAAATGTTACTTTTAAGACAATAACACTTCCAAGGATTCAATACTATGCACATTTCTCAGCTCCATCCCTAACCTTGTTCTAACCGTCAAGTCTCAACAGCAGAATGATAAATTTCATGGGGTATGATAAATTTCATGCGGAATTTGCTCCATCTGCAGGCTCATCTTCAGCTCCTTTTTGTTTGTTAGCTGTACCTAGCTTCTCCACATTTAAAACTCGTCCTGTCATAAGATCAACAGGACGTATGTCACGTGGTCGTCCTTTGCGTCCCATTGCCACTATTGATGGTGGAGGCAATACCCCAGCTCTGAAAAGAATGCGCTGGACTGGCTCTGATGGCTGTGCACCAACTGATAACCAGTACCTGCGGAAAACAATGAAAATGGAAGTTTATCTATATTGGGTGGTTTCACTGCCAATTAGTAGAACAAGACTACGTTAGTTGCTAAGCTTATGCATTAAAAGAGATTGATCATTCCTCTCCACAACTATAAATTGTTGGTAGAAATCTAGTACTTCTTTTCTTTCTTCAAAACTTAACGGTATCGGGCAAGTAAAGGATGTTAAACATTCAATTACGTGAATACGAGGAACTATAAGAAGCCACTACTGACTACCCTAACATAAACAAAAATGCAGACATGATTTGCTCTACCTTTCTAAAATAGCCATATGATTATATATGTAGACATAAAATTTGTTCGAATTTTAAGTAAGGGTTCTCTGGTTTTCAGGTCGAGACCCAATTTCAATTCAATTGGTTTTCGGCATAATTTCAATTCAATCAGGCCCAAAGTCTGATTTCGATTAGGCCCGAAGTCTATTTTGTTCTTTAGGCTCAACCTACTCTTTATTTTTTTTATTTCTTTTTTTGTTAAAAATACAAAAGAAAAATGAAAAATGAAAGGGAAAAAAAACACGCAGAAGAATACAAAGGAAGGAAAAAAACAAAGGAGAAGGGGGTTGGTGCCTGGTGCTGTGCACGACACCACTGGCACCGCCCACCCACATTAGGCCCTGTGCCACTTGTTCAAGCACAGGGCCAAGATTAAACAATACAGAAGGATAATGGGGCAGAAACGAGGGCTGATGCTTGGGGTACCGTACACGACACCTTCCTCTGCCAAGCCCTGTGCACTCATCTAGGCACACGGAAAATTCGGAGCTCTATAAATTGAGCTCTGTGCCAAACCAAAAAAGGAGGGGAGATCCTGTAAAAAAAAAGTTTCTAGAATAAAAAAAAATCTTCTTGCCAAAAAAATTATTTAAATAAAAAAACAGTCTCCTAGATTCGGGAACCCAGCGCCAAAAGCTTTCCTGCAAAAAAAAAATCAGCTTAGCTATTAAAAAAAAAGGAAAAAAAGAGGTTTGACCAAACCTTTAAGGCTCGATCTAGGGTGTTTCAGTGAGATTCTGGTAAAACTAGGCCCCGATCTATGTTTAGGGAGTCGAAGAGAATTTTTTGGGATCTTTTAAGATTTTTCGACAGCTGTAGACGACGGTCGGTGAAAGTTGGTCGGCTGATCGGTCTAGAGAGAGAGGGTTTAAGGATGTAGAGAGAGAGAAGGAGAAGAGAAAATGAGAAAAAATTTTTTTTGACTTTTATAAAAAGCTAAAAGCCAAAATGACGCTGTTTCATTAAATGGTCAAAACGACGTCGTTTTGAACTGAAGAATTCGCGTGTCGGCCCTTGACCTGACTCGGATTCGTGCACCTGACCCGATGACCCGCTTCACCTTTAGCTTCTGACTAGTCCAATTGAACTAGGACCGAACGGCTGAACCTGATCTTGATTGACCTCGAATCGCTGAACACGACCAGACTATCGGACCGACAACGGTCCGGTATAGGTAAAAAAAAATTCTTTTGAATTTTTTTATTTTTTTAAATATTATTTTTGTTACTTTAAATTTTATTATTAATATTTATATATGTTAAAATGTTTAAAATTGCTATAATAAATTTTTGTTGTTTTATAATATTGTTAAAATTTTTATAATTATGTTATTTTTAAAAATAAACTTAATAATAATATAAAATTAATAAAAAAATGTATAAAAAGGAAATTTTTACTTGATGATGAGATTCAAAGATACTCTGAGTAATGATACCTATGAAATCTCTAAGTGAGAAGATTTTTTTAAATACTACCAGTGTATTAGAGTATTTATAAAAAAAATTTAATACAATAAAAATTTTCTTTTTTTGGTTATAGAATATTAAACAAAAATTAATTAATAAGATAAAAATAAGTAACAAAAATTGAAGAAAAAAGAAATTTTATAAGATGATGGGATTCTAAAAATATTTCGAGTAGAGGTGCTTTAAAAAATCCCTATGTGAGAAGATTTTTTTTAATATTACCAGTATATTAGAATATTTATAGAAAATCTTCAATATAATAAAAATTCCTCTTTTTTTCATTTTTTAAAATAAAAATAATAAAAATTTCAAATAAAAAATAAAATGTGTGCATTAACGTATTATCATTTACATTGCATGCATGGCATAAAATTTTTTACGAAAAATAAATTTAAACCTCTGAAGATGAGATTCTAAGGTATTTCGAGAAGCGATGCCTAAGAAATCTCTTAGTGAGAAAGAGTTCTTTTAATGTTACCAACGAATTGGAACATTTTAAGAATTATTTCAATAAAAAATTTCTAATTTATTTTCTCAAATAAAATTTGAATAATATACTTTTAAAAAAATAAAATAAAATAAACTAATTTTCAATAAATAAAAAAAACAACAAAATTATTTTTCAAACACACATAAAATAAGATTGTTTTTATTAAAATCATAGGATAACACGTAATTAAGTGGTACCATTTTTAAATGGACGTTGTAAGGGTGCTAATCATTCCTCACACGTAACCGACTCTCGAATCCAAACTGTTTCGTAGACCATAAAATTATCTTTTTAATAAATTTTAATTAATTTTAAAATCTTATTAATATGATAAGTTTTAATAGGTGGCCAATTACACCTAGCCAAAAAAAATTGGTGGCGATTTCATTTTTTTTTTTCCAAATTCGTCAAGCGGCTCCAAAATCGTTAGACAGCTTGGCGACTCCACTAGAAAAGCCATTTATTTTAGAGAGTCAAGCCAAAATTAACTTCGTGTTATCCTTAAATGTTGATTTAAACATTCTTAATCGGTTCCTTAGATTTTTATTTTTCACTTTCCATAAAAAAACAAATTGAAAATAAAAAGAAAATTCACACACGTTTCTTTTACTATGTTTCTTATGCTTTATTTTTCTTGTATCTATTACTTTTGATAAATTAGGAGATATATACACACACAATGGCACGATGCATCTCATGCATGAGCTCTATACTCAAGCTCTATCTTTTATAGAAGGAAGTAAAGTACCTATGCCCTCATAAAGTGATAACCTCAGCAATGGCAAGTGAAATACTTTCACTCAAATTGAATCATTTTCGTTCGTAGCCTGTAATGGATGAGGATCGAGGTGCCTTATTAGTCTAGCATGGACGACAGTGATGAATAATTTAGGAACCTTTAGATGCATATCGACCTAAACCAAGCATGTAATAAACCTAGGAAGATAACCTTAGGTAGAACCTTACCCACCCTCTTGTAGAGAATACCTAAGTCCAAAACGTATAGGAATAAAAGTTATGTGTAATACAAAAACAAAACAAAGCAAAAAAAAATCTCAAAAATTTTTTTATCTCAAAACACCTCATCACACTAACTCAATTTTGTTTTATTTTTCTTTTTACGTTAATTATATTATACAGTTCTGTATGAAGGTATTTGCTTTAAGATATCTTTCTCTCAATAAGTCTTCATGGATCCTATAGAACTATAAACTTGCTCAAATCTCATGAAAAATTTTTTATGCTAAAATTCATCCAAAAGTAAATATCTCCCACTTGCATTCATGCATCATGTGCACTATTTTTATTTTTTAAAAAAATAAAAAATACAAAATAAAATTTTCAACACATGGCATTCAAAAAAATTTAAAAAAAAAAAATTTTTTTTTGGTAATGAAGGTTCAAGAATAACTCGCCCACCAAAAATTTTTAACTCAACCTACTTGCCATTCATACAATACCAAAGCTCAAACAAGAATTATGGAAAAAGAACATGTCAGTTGATTTGAAAGGATTGAGAAAGCTCATGAAGGACTAAAAGAAGATCTTAATAAGATAATGGACATGCTCAAGAATCCAGATAAAGAAAAAACAATGGAAGAAAATTCAAGCCTCCAAGAATAATCGCCAGATATAGTGGATCTTACATACCTTCCAGGGTTTGAACCACGGCCAACTCAACCTTCTCAAAGAAGTTAGAATTCAAATTTTTACCATCGGAGGATATGCCAATCCTTATCCAATGATGACATCCACACTTGTTTCAAGATAATTTCAAAATTTTACTAATCCTATCATGGTAAAAAAACCATATAAGCCAATCCTGATTTCAGACTTTGATGATTCTAATGAAAAAGAAAAGCTAGAAATAGAGACATCTGAGAAAGTAAAAGATAGCAGTGCTCAACATAAGATAAAATTATTAGAAGAAAGACTTAGGGTTATAGAGAAAATTAATTTTTATGGCTTCACAGATGCAACTGAGCTTTGTTTGATTTCAGATGTGGTCATTCCACTTAAATTTAAAGTCCTTGAATTTAAAAAATATGATGATACAAAATGTCCAATAACTCATGTCATCATGTATTGTCGTAAAATGGCAGCACATGCTCGTGATGAAAAATTATTGATGCATGATTTTAAGATAATCTTACGAGATCTGTAGCTAGATGGTATATTCAACTAGATAGGACTCGTATTTGTTCCTGATAAGAGCTCTCAAGGGCATTCATTACATATTACTGACATGTTATAGATTTAGCTCCAGATCGTCTATCTCTACAGAACATTAAAAAAAAGTAACTAAAAGCTTTAAAGAGTATGCACAGAGATGAAGAGATATGGCTGCACAAGTTCAACCTTTCTTCACTTAGAAAGAGACAATTGTCTTGTTTGTAAATAATCTGAAGATATCATACTATGAGAGATTGATAGGCAATACCACTAAAAGCTTTACAGATATGGTGATATCTAATGAAATTATTAAAAATATCATAAATAATGAGCTTGATACAGGAGAGACAAGCGAAGTAAAGAAAAGTGAACCCTCAACAAGAGAAAGAACAAAGCTCAAGCAGTGAACTATGTAGGGCAACAATTCAGAGGTTTCACTTCACACCCTACATCAATGTACTAAACCCATTACATTTCCATAAACAATATCACATCCATCCCTTATCCTTGTCAACCGTATCAGCTGCTACAGTAACCAGCTTGTACACCTCATTTTCAGT